TGGTTTGTTTCTCGTTGCACTGTTTCTTGCATTGCTCAAGGCATCTTAGGGATCATGGTCCCAACGCAACGGCTGGATGCTGTCCGAGTTTCTAATTTTTTATTTTTTTATTTTTTTCTCTGTGCACCTAGAAGTTTTTAAGTGTTTTAGGACTAGCATCTTGCCCGGCCAAACACAAGTGTATGTCTCACTGATCCAGTCAGGTCACACATTTTGTCAAGCTGTTGCTGGAATTGGCTGCCTGGGCTTTCAGTTTTAAAACAGACTGATTCTGAGGACTGCAGGAAAAGCACGCAAGAATAACGTTTCTCAGTGTGAAGAGGCAAGTTTGGAGATTCTTAACAGCCAGAAGTGAGCTGTTAGGGATTCAGGATTGCAAAAAGTCAGAGACAGAGTGTAAATTAAGCCACTAAAACTTGCCCGACCACCTAAAGATATAAACCTATGCTCCAAATAGATGAAAGACTCGAGGACTGTTCCAATCTGTCCCATATAACACCATCCATGATTACTCTAATACTAAAAAAAGGGTCACATCATAATATTTGATGTTATTATGCATTTTATTCTCCCTCGTCTGCACCACACTGCACATCATTTACACCAACTAACACGCTAAAATGTGAAAAGCAGAGTGTTCCTACTATTTTAAACTGCAAGTCAGCTGGTGCATTGATCATTTGCCTTGACCTGCTCTAGCAGCGAGCAGGAACACTGTTGACACAAACATAACAAGGTGGTTCCAACGCCAACACCAAAATATGGTCTATTGTTATTGTCAGGTCAGGTGCATTGATGAAGAGTATACCTGCAGGTTAGAGAGGTGTGTCTGGAAGCGGCTTCAATAATGTGAAAGTGGTCTGGCTATGAGTGGACAGGAGGCACTCATGTGAACACAAGCATGCAGTCTAAAAGTAAACAACTCAACAATACATTGGTTTTGCTGTGTCGATCACAAGGTGAGTTTAACAGGTTACGTCGTTTATAGAAAACAAAAATTAAATATTTGACCAAAACCATGTAAGCCTTTAGGTGCCAGTGGTCCCCCAAATCGTCAGCATTTATGCTGAAAAACATTTGATGGATGTAGAATAACTAGGTGGCATGCATAATCATTCTTCTCTGTGGTCTTCTACATAAAGCGGACTGACAGGAGTGGAGGAATTAAGGGCCCGTTTTGTAACCACAGAGTCCCGCTCGGTCTTTTGCAGTCGTTGAGTGGGCAAAACAGTTAGCCCATCTTACCTGCTGGTGCTAGTCAGAGGGGCCGATGGCGCCAGTGCTCACATCTGTCAGTACGGCCCAGGGCCGCTGTGGCCACAATGTAGCTTATCACCAACAGTGTGTGAATGTGTGTACATGGCTGAATGACTGGAGGAGTTGTGAAGTGCCTTGGGGGGTTGGAGAACCATAAAAGGTACTATACAAATACCAGCCATTTACCGTAAAGCACCAATTAAAGGTGTGGAACTCTCAAAAACATTTAAATGAATATTTCTGATTCACTCTGAGTTTTTCATGCAGGCTGAACATGAAAATAGTCTCCTTCACCTATCTCCTGCATTAGATAATGATAGAAAATAGACAGCGAAACTCGAGGATTTGAAAAGCTAACCATTAGTTTTAGCGACACCACCGCACAAGAAATCTTGTGTTTGTGGAGATTAAACACCCAAGGTGCAAGTCAGTGGTCGAGTTGCGTTGCTCTTATCCAATCAGAGACAAAATGTTCAGATATCAGGAAATAAATTCTATTGTGCTCTTCCGCACTCGGCTGCAGCAGACGTGTACGTGCTGATCCTAGCGCTTCTGGAGTTTTTCTGCCCGGGGAACGGCTTGCAAGCCATTCATTCTAACGAGTTTCCAAACCTTTTAGCTTGTAAAGATTACACTTGAGTGTTTCACACAGGTTTAACATGTGATGTAAGAGCATATTTGTCATGGGCAGAGATGTTGTGAAACCTAAAACCCCGGTTATTTGCATCCACAAGCAAATATTGACCAGGGGCAATTTGCAAATCTCCATCTTAATTGGAGGATTTAGAAAAAAATGTTTTAATGCTGCATATATCTTCACTTTCATGTGAAAAACAGGCTAAACTGTTGAAAAGTCTCTGTTTAGTGGAATACCCGGCTATGTTGTGTATAGGATGTTTTACAACAAGCATTTATATTTTCATAAAAGCTTATTTACAGTTGCATTTAAAAATCAAAGCTGCTTTCATTACGTGACAGCTTATTGTAAAGAATGTTAAGGCATCAGCCTCACACCACAAAACATGATAGGAAATGAAGGATGGAAAACATTAGTTGTAAAAATAAAAGCTGCTACCAACAAAGTTAAGTCTCAAAATACAGGTGCTGGCCAGTAAATTAGAATATCATCAAAAGGTTGAAAATATTTCAGTAATTCCATTCAAAACGTGAAACTTGTACATTATATTCATGCAATGCACACAGACCAATGTATTTCCGATGTTTATTACGTTTAATTTTGATATTTATAGGTGACAACCAATGAAAACATCAAATCTGGTATCTCAGAAAATTAGAATATTCTAAAGGCCAATGAAAAAATGTTTGTTTCTCTAATGTTGGCCAACTGAAAAGAATGAACATGAAAAGAATGTGCATGTATAGCACTCAATACTTAGTCGGGGCTCCTTTTGCCTCAATAACTGCAGTAATGCGGCGTGGCATGGACTCGATCAGTCTGTGGCACTGCTCAGGTGTTATGAGAGCCCAGGTTGCTCTGATAGTCGTCTTCAGCTCCTCTGCATTGTTGGGTCTAGCGTATTGCATCCTCCGCTTCACAATACCCCATAGATTTTCTATGGGGTTAAGGTCAGGCGAGTTTGCTGGCCAATCAAGGACAGGGATACCATGGTCCTTGAACCAGGTGCTGGTGGTTTTGGCACTGTGTGCAGGTGCCAAGTCCTGTTGAAAGGTGAAGTCTGCATCCCCATAAAGTTGGTCAGCAGCAGGAAGCATGAAGTGCTCTAAAACTTCCTGGTAGACGGCTGCATTGACCCTGGACCTCAGGAAACAGAGTGGGCCAACACCGGCAGATGACATGGCACCCCACACCATCACTGACGGTGGAAACTTTACACTGGACCTCATGCAACGTGGATTCTGTGCTTCTCCGCTCTTCCTCCAGACTCTGGGTCCTTGATTTCCAAAGGAAATGCAGAACTTGCTTTCATCAGAAAACATAACTTTGGACCACTCAGCATCAGTCCAGTCCTTTTTGTCCTTGGCCCAGGCGAGACGCTTCTTGCGCTGTTTCATGTTCAAGAGTGGCTTGACACACGGAATGCGACACCTGAATCCCATGTCTTTCATGAGTCTCCTCGTGGTGGTTCTTGAAGCGCTGACTCCAGCTGCAGTCCACTCTTTGTGGATCTCCCCCACATTTTTGAATGGGTTTGTCGTCACAATTCTCTGCAGGGTGCGGTTATCCCTAGAGCTTGTACACTTTTTTCTACCACATTTTTTCCGTCCCTTCGCCTGTCTGTTAATGTGCTTGGACACAGAGCTCTGCGAACAGCCAGCTTCTTTAGCAATCACCTTTTGTGTCTTGCCCTCCTTGTGCAAGGTGTCAATGATTGTCTTTTGGACAGCTGTTAAGTCAGAAGTCTTCCCCATGATTGTGGTGCCTTCAAAACAAGACTGAGGGACCTTTTAAAGGCCTTTGCAGGTGTTTTGAGTAAATCAGCTGATTAGAGTGGCAGCAGGTGTCTTCTATATTCAGCCTTTTCAGAATATTCTAATTTTTTGAGATACCAAATTTGGAGTTTTCATTAGTTGTCACTTATGAATATCAAATTTAAATGTAATGAACATTGGAAATACATTGGTCTGTGTGCATTGCATGAATATAATGTACAAGTTTCACGTTTTGAATGGAATTACTGAAATATTTTCAACCTTTTGATGATATTCTAATTTACTGGCCAGCACCTGTATGTATGTTTTATCTTTGGCACAAATAAATAGCAATACCTTGTAACAGTATTTTTGTTAAAGTAATGAAAGGGTAAAGGTAAGAACCAATGAGTGTAATGTTAAAACTCCAGAAACAGCGTCTTATTTTGGCAGCTACTGACCCAGCGGACCTCTAGCAGGTCAATTCCATCTTTAACACTGGCTGGTAAAATAACTAGCATTGCAAACAAAATCATCAGATCTTCAATTGCTGACTCTCACCACACTCTGTGCTTTAAAAGCTAATACCTGAACTTCCTTTCATGGTTACTTTTATCTGAAATGCAGCTTCAGAGCTGAAGTAGTCTTTGAAAATCAACACCACCAAAACCCTCTCAGAGCTCCTGCCATGCTGGAAATGGTCTGAATATGCCTCTTTAATTAGTTTAATGTGGTTATTTTCATTTTATCTTTTATTTAAGTTTTTTTAATCTAAAAACACAATATTTCGATGGTGCTGTTGTTTTAAGAGATTTTTAGCAGATCTGGGTAACTTAATTGTCTCTACGAGGTACAAAATCTGATCACAAATGTACTGTAAAGATGCTCATTAAATGAAAGTTCACATTTGAAATGACAGGAACAAAAAATTATTTCTTATTATTACTCTGCAGCTTCCAATAAGCACTTCTTCTGTATCTAGTGTATGATTAATAACAACATATCATCTAAGACAGTTTTATCAGTCTCCCAGAATAAGTTCTGCGATACATCACATGCCCTTTGTATGTGGTTGGATTCCAGAATTTCACTAATTCAGTAAGAACTTAGAAAACACGATTTAGTAAAGGAAACAGGACTGTGATCCTATGAGAATCACACTAATGAAAACAGATGACAGTTGGTAATCAGAAACAGGAAATAAATAAAGGAATCTTATTACAAATCAAGTAATAGATCTCAATTGTTCAAAGGTTCAAAGGCTTGGTTTGGACTCTGAACGAAGAAGGTATTCCTGGTGTCGTTTGTGAGGATGTGCTTTGTGTGCTTTGTGTAGAGTGTGTTTGTCTTACCCACAGTTAGCTGACCAGTCAGTTGTCCCTGATCATTTCTTGCATTTATGGTCACATTTCTGTCTGACTGGAGGATCAGTGGACTGTCCTAGGGAGGCACAAAGAGAAACAAAGATTAATATTTCATTTAAAGTTGTGGTTTCAAGTATGAATGATTGCCTTGTGAGTCATTTTTGGTGAAAGAAAAAAGCTCTGGTGCTCCGGTTTCAGGAAGTAGATGTTAGTTGGATTAGTGCAGGGTGGAAAATGGTGGTATTTGGAGTCTTACTCGTCAATATTTGCAAACATTTTGCTTCTTATTTGCTAACAGCCAACACAACTCTTCTGCTGCCCATGTTCATTTTATTTTCTTGGGTAAAAAAATAAACACTGATGTGTTATCTCCACAAATACCACAAGCTTGAACACGATTCACCATGTTGGGAGGTAGCTAATGCTAATTGTTAGCTACTAGCCTAGACATGATCTGATTTTCCTTGGTCGCTAAATCAACCCACACCTCTGCGGTCACAAGCAAAGATGGGTGATCGTGTGTTCCAGTCATCCTCAGAACTCAGAATTACCAAGCAGGAAATGATGTCACTGGCTCGTTTTGCGTTACAGCTTCCAACTTGAAAAAAAAAAGGATGTCACCAGTGTTGTTGAGTACTAAACCAAAATAATTAGATAACCAAGTATTCTTTGCATCTAACCCTAACCCTAACACACACACCCTTTGACAGTTGCCACATACAACCAGAAAAACATTTCAAATCAATTGTAAAAATATAAACGCCAGGAAAAGTAAAAACCATAAACACTGGTCAACGTAACTATTGATAACAACAATAAACAACTTTCCGGTGCCGTTAAATAGCAAAAAGAAAGAAAACTGAACATTTAAATGAGAAAATAAATAAAGACTACTTCCTGGTAGAACTAGGCGCAGCCATCTTTAATTGTGGGATCTCTGGGTCCTCTGAAACCCATGAGCTAGCAACTGGGAATTCCAAGCTCATTACGTAATTTTTGGGTAACTTATCTCTTAAAACAAGTCCCGAGGGCAACGGGATTGCACTATGAGTCCATGAATGCAAATTATACAGTAAGCATGTTTACATGTGCATCAGTAAATTAAACTATTTCCTTAATTCAACTGAATTGTCTTTTTTTTTTAAATAAATATAAACACGTTAGTCTGACTGAATGCAAAATTACCCAGACAATGCAGTTGAAAACCAACTTCCTCTGCATTTAAACAGCTCAGTCAAGCTAGTACCGGTTGGACACTCACTTTTAGGAACTGATAAGACCACAGAAGTGATCTTCCGATAACATCATCGCCATAATGTAACAAACTTAATACTATTAAAAAGTACATTTCGTATCAAATCAGAGGTGCTACTGCGTTGTTGTTGTCTATTTCTGTTTTAACTGTCTGCTTCGTTCCTGCCAGCATTTGTTTACTATTTCTGTTGCTATAGACTAACTGGAAGAACGACATCATGAAATGTCGTCACTTACCATAGCGGAGTGGAACGCAGTTCGTTCAATAATTAGGTTTTCTAAGGTACATGTAAAATACGATAAAGGCTCCCACTTTATTAATGAATTGACTTAGATTTGCATGTTAATGCATTGAGGGTGACATAGAGCTGTCTGTCTTTTTCTGACCTGAGCATTTCCCCTATTTCCTTTTTTTGTTTGTTTTTGCAGTTAATGCATTTGTTTGAAGACTTTTTGCATTAAGAGCGCACACGAAACAAAGAAAGAGCGACTGTATCTAAAAAAGAACAAGCATTAAATATTTCGCACTGAACTTCCTTTACTATGTGAAATTAATGTAATAGATATTTTTTCTACACCTGTGGTAAAGATCTCTTTTGCCATGCATATGTAAGCAACTATAATACAAACATTGTCTGCAAGGCATACATAAAATGATGGCAAACTACATAGTGTTTTAATAAAGAGTAGTTCTGTAGTCTCTTATGTTTAAGCGTCACAACAGGCAAAAAGTAAAAGGGCCCCTAAGCACAAACCTTGCATGGTAATTTCTCTGTAACATCCCTCCTTAGCATATCTTACAACTTGTAAATGCTTTTTTTAGCCCCAGCCAAGAGTTTTTCAGGTCTTTATTCAATATTTCCTGCATAATGACCCTGGTTTGCATCTTTTCTTTCAAACCATTCAATAAATGTGATCTTTTTGCAGCGTTGAAAGCCAGGCTCTCTGGTAGATAAATAACTATCAAAGATACAAGCTGGCATCATCTGAATTCAGAGGACATGCAACGCTAGAAAAAATAACACTAAGATGCTTTTTCTTCATTTGTATTTGCCATTGTCCTTGATTAAATAATTAGCAAGGCTGTTTCAAAAAGGGAAACATGAGTGGGCAAAGTCACGCTTGTTCATTTAGCATGACTAACGAACATAGTTATTGATGTAGTTAAAAATGACTGCAAAAACAAGAATTAATGGTCACTGAATTTTATGTAGCCTTTCAAAAACAACAACCATCAGTACTTTGTCCTGAACCCTTGCCGAGCTCCAAACTGACAGTAAAATAAGAATTTTGTTTTCTTCCAAAAGATTTAAAACCAAGAATCAGAGTTTTCTGTTTCTCCTCCTTCACTGATGTCACCTTCACACTACCCCACAGACACGGCTCTTTAATCAGCCAAATTAAAATGAATTTCCTAAAAAATGAAGATAATTCCTTTACCAGAACAAAATTCCTAACTATTAAACCCCCAGTTTATTGAACGTTTAATTCCCCTTATCTAACTCACCATAATATTATTTGTCTTACAGAAACTTGGCTGCAGCAGCAGAATTGTGTTAGTATATATTGAAATGACAAAGTAGGCTAAGAAAAACCAAAAGACCAAAGCTTTTTCCTCTCAGAGCTTGGCTTTCAGAGCTTCTCTTGCAAAGTTGAAATGACCTAAAACATTAATTGTCCTCACAGCCCACACCTCGAGTGTTATCTTAGTTTTCAGGATCTTTTCTTCTTGGTACGGAGTTCTGACATTAAAATGGGCGATTTATATATTCACCTAAAGTGATCCAACAAGCTGTGACTGGAGCAATGACCGGAACATCATGTGTTAGCCTTTTCAGATTGGCTCGGGTTGAAATGTAGATATTGAAATCATTTTTATCACATTCAAAGCCCTGTTGTTCCAACCTCATATTTAAATAAAACATCTCATCATGCCTCATTAAAGGTATTTGCTTTACAAAGACTTTGCTTTTCTATAAAGAAGGGAAACTTTTACTTTCCAGGCTCTTCCTTCAGTGGAACTAGCTGCCAGTCTGGGTATGAAACACAAAACTCCCTCTATGATAGTGTTTATATAATGTGCCTCTTCAAAAAAAAAAAAGCTCATATTTGACTAACTCTAACCCAACAAACTTTGCAAGTAATCTGCATAATTTATTCAAAACAGGATTTTGTCAGACTGTTTGTTTGCTTGTTTGAAATTGGGTGTTTGTGCATCCGCCCATTAAAAAACGGCCCTCATTTACAATCTAAACGAGATAACTACGACTGTAACTTTGACTTCCATACTCCATTAAAAGTCTGATTGAGGAGCCACCCGGTGTTGGTATTAGTTTATGTTGGTTAGATTTGTGCTGCAATAAATGCAAACTTGGTGTCTGTCACTTTTATTAAGAACCAAAGTCAATCTAACATCCCACGATCTGTCTGCTGCTAACACCAATCTATGTAAGCAATTTCTTCTGTTCTCCTCATCTCTTTTATTAAGTCTATCCACTTTCTGTCTTTAATGCATTTTGTATCTCCACCCTCCTCCGTCTGCTTTATTCTCATTTTTAAATAACTTATTTGTTTTTTTTTCTGTATGAAATGACTAACTCACAGGTGACCCAGTTCCTCTGTTGATTTCCCATATTATTATTATTATTGTGCTACATTTCCGTTTGAATTTTAAATGAGAAATGTGTTCAAATTGGAAAGTCACTGATCCGTTGAAATGGAAAAATCCCTCCCCGTCTTTTTATTCCCTTCCCGAATTCTCCCCCAATGTGCACTTTATTAAGTTATGGAGAGATACATACAATTTATTGTTTGTTTATGTTTATTAGGATAAAATTTGTACCGTCACGACTGTCTGTGGAGTATTTTGAAGCTATTTTAGTGGACTCTTAGGGAGAAGAGCGACAAACAAAACAGCATTGACAGAACAAGTCACACATAACTGGACTACAATTTAGTACCAGTGAACTCCTGCACACCTGCAAGCCTTTTAGCCTAGGCATTTACACTTTGACAGGTGAAATTAGCCAAATTTCAGATGAGTGGCCCACATGATTTATCGTGCAAAGTGTCACTCTTCAGGTGCCTAATGCATCTTTGCATTAATTATTTTTCAACTGTGTGTGTACTCGTGCGTGTATGTGTATGTGTGTGTGTGTGTGTGTGTGGCAGCCTTCGCCGTATTATCTTTCCATTTTGTTTAAAGCGATTGCCACTTTGTAAAGTGTTACAGATGTAATGAGCTATGAATCATCCCAGCCTAATGGACAGTGTGCATGGTCGGGCCTGATCCCATTCACTTAGAGCAGGACTCTTTTATTTAGAAGCACAACCATACATGAGAAGTCACATTTGATTTAGCAATGATATGCTAATGCAGTTCAGTGTGGCCTCTAAATAATTGCAGCGTATTATCAGCTGATAGAAGCCAAACAATCTGCCCGGTAACAATAATGACTTGACTGATTCGGATGAGAGAGTTGTCTGAGCTGCTGAAAGAGGTCAAAAACAATGATCAAAAGCTATTACTCATTTCATTTGTATTAATATCAATAAAACATAAAGCATGGAAGAGTTTTTGTTATGTGTGAATCTTCCTGATTGTTCTAATTGTTTTATATATTGTTCAGGGTCGCAAGTAAAAGGAAGATACTCCATTTATCAAAAGTACACTGCAAAAAGGTCTAATTTTAGATGTTTTATTTTATTTTAGTAAAAAAATTTAAAAAAAATACTACCAAAAAAATCCCTATATAGAAAACATAATTACTTAAAATAAGGTGACTATTCTTAAATATGAGCAAAATAAATAACTTTGTAAGA